TTATTAAAAATACAGATTTGGGGGCTACCTCAAAATAACTATGGGTGATGCTGGTAATATGTTCTCACGATATTTCCCAGATACATATTATGACATTAATGTTCGAAAAACACTGGTCTAGACCATGTGCCCTGAGAGCCTGTCCATTAATTTTTATGGAATTTGTGCCAACCTTTAGGATTACTAGGCATGCCTTGTTTACTTTGTCTTTCTTCTTTCTTTTTTTGGTTTGATTTTATTATTTTTGCATGAGGTTGAGATTAATCTGTCAGTCATATGGATGGATTTGTGTTTTGCCCCCTAGACTCCTCCTGGGTGAAACACACAGTTGTAATAGGTAAACATTACTGTTTTATCAATTTATGGGCCTTGTGAATTGGAAAGAAGTATGGAATGCAGAGAGAAACTCTCAATAGGGCTCTCAGAAAAAACACATTAGTGTGGTGGTGCTTCTGTGTTACATGTATTACACATCTAGGGCTATTACTGAGAATCTGAGGGGCTGATCTTCAAGCATTGGTTCAGTTCTCTTTGCAGGAGACGTGAAATTATTGGATGTGCTGTAGTCACATAATATTTTTTAAAGTTGTTTATTGGTTCTGTCTGGTAAAGCTAACTGGATTATTTCTAGTTTTTATTGGAAAGGAGTTTTCAACTCACCATCCCTGGTGATGGGATGTCAACAAGACAAAGACAATCAGATTAGGGAAATCTTTCTATGGCAGTCAATTTTAACTTGTATTCTGTTCAGGGCAGGGAGGAACAAAGAGGTAGAGGAGTATGTTCCCCAGGGTTTTGAAGAATTGAACTTGTTGCCATCATACTGTTTTCTAAACATATATTCTTTATGAATAGAAAACATGACAGAGGGATCAGGTAAATAAACCTTAGACAAGGACTCATGATGATGCTTTCCATATAAAATAATTCCCTCGTAGCCCACAGCCTTATACAAGAATTGTCTTTTTGATTGTTTGCTTGGTTCAGAATTTGACAAGGGGTGGCCCAAGCAAGGAGTGGGTGGTGGTGGGTAGCAATTGTGAGGCACAGAGCACTGCTAAGGCTGGGGTTTTCTGTTCACACTGGGTGGCCTGACATTATCCCTCCCGAATTCTTTAAACTGATTTCCTAAATTAGTTTTACATTGGATCGTAATGCATGAGGTTGTGAAGGACACTTGGGTTATAAGTAAGTTTTACATTGTTTTAGTGACGTTCTCCAATAGCACTCCAGGGTATTTCCATTCCAGTATGAGAGACATCAGCTATATTCTTGTCTAAAATGAAACATCCACCAAGTTCAAAAGTAATTATTTTTTTTTATTTCATCTCTATAAAGTATACAACAGGCACTCGGCAATAACAGCTGCAGGAAAAATACAGAGCAAATCAAAGCAGGTTAATTTTATGAAAAAGTTTTTAATCTACATCAAAAGAGTGCAAGTGGTCAATGACCATTTGATGACAGTTGTTGCATTCTAACAAAGGACTCTTTCATGTAGAACAAATTGTAAGAGGACAATCAACCATAGCTGTAAGAATACAAAAGAACTGACCAGTTGTAAAAACATCATACAATGAAATAAATTGGATAGATGATGCTTGAAGAAATGTCCCTATCCTCGGAAAGCCCAAACCTCTGAGTCATGGTCAAGGTCCCAGAGCTCTGTTAATTCAGGGGCAGATAAAGAGGAGGGCTAACAACACACTTCCAATGTTTATCTTGCCTAGTCTGTTGAAAACTTGCCTCATAAATGATTTGCATATACAAGAACTCAGAAAGCATCCTGTTTTGTTGAGGAGTGCACCAAGGTACGTGTTCATCATTGGTTTCATAACGAGGTGTGGTTAGCAGTCACTTCCCAATTTTTCTTTTGATTTGGATAGTTGGTAATGGAGTCTATAAAATGAGATGTTAGAACTTGACTGCACTAAGTGGTTTTTTGTTTTGTTTTGTTTTTAACTGAATCTGCACAGCTTAGCAAAACAGGAATACCTGTATACAGACTGATAGTATGTCATATATTAATTTGACCTGCACATACATTTATACATTTCACAGAAATGACGCTGTATCTCAGTAACAGATACACAGCTCTGGTACGTGTAACAGAAATAAGAGAACAACTTCATCATTTCTGTAATTAATCAATATTATATAATAAAGGCTTATAAATTGTTAGCAGAAAGAACTGTAAAACGCAGCAAGCTAAGAAAGGACAACATTTTGAGGTGTATTTGTCTTTGTCATGCAGCATAACACCAAATTTGTTTTTTAATAGGATGCCATGAATTTAAGGCACTTGCAACAATGCCAGATAGCCAGGTCATGTTCTAAACTATGGAACAGATGAAACCGTACAGGTGACATAATCTTCAATAATACTGACAATTATGACATTAATTCAAGTCTACTTGGACCTAAAAACATTATTCAGTACAAAGGAAATGAAATAATAATGCTGTGAAACACTAAAAAAAGTTATATGTACCACAAAATATCACACAAAAATATCTATTTACATAAATATTTGTCTGTGGTCCTATTGTGAAAGAAAACGTCATTATGGATAACGCACAGATCACCTCTACCGTATGAAATCAGTTCTAATATCCTTATTTTCAGTATGGTAGCTGACTTCTTTAAAATTTCAGTTTACCATCAGTTCCATCATGAAGTGAGAAAAATTCAGTAGCTGAATTTATATATTACACATGTGTGATTCACATGCATATCCCATAATTTTAAGTAAAAAAATGTGACTCGTAAAGAATGTAATCAAAAGAAATTTGTTTCCAACGCCACGTGGATCTGATTTATATGTGAGTTACAAAGAAGATACGAACATAAAGATCATTTATAGCAAATTTCCAGAAATCATTTTCTCTAACGTGTTCAATTTAACTCAGATATCATGATGTTCCTTTCCTTGGCAGTTTTCAGTTTTCCTGTGTATCAAGAGGCACAGAAAGCCCTTATTTCCCATACTCAAAGTATTAACAAGAAAGTCAGTTAGCAAATCCAACAAGTTGGCACTATTCTAACTTATCCAGATGTTCTTTAGTGTAAGAAAAGAGAGGGGCGTGAACAGTTCAGAAATAAAGTAGGATGCGCTTTCCAAAGCTGACCATGAATTTTAGCCCTAGTGTCTTCATTAAGACAAGATTTAAATCCTTAAATTTCAATGCTGAAGATTAGAGGACTGTTTTCTCTTAGCAGTTTGTGGAAGATGTAGTTCACCTTTTTTGGTTAGTGATTGCTGTAGACCTCCTAATGCAATGCCACCGGTGCATTGTAACGAAGCTGTGCTAATAGGTGGGAAAACTGACAGTTCCATTGAACTGGATGCTACTTCTTCATTCCTCAGAGAACTTGTACACAGTGTTGTCTTAGACTTGAACCACAGCAAGCGCTAGGCTCTGGTGCTGCTGGGGCATTTGAAAAATTGCAGGAGCAGATTCTCTTAGTGACCACATAATATTCTAGCAAAACTTTAGTGTGCCTAAACCTCTTTTAACAAAAATCACTGAACAGTGACCATGATGTTGGAATTATATACTTTTAAAAGCCCAGATAAAAGCAGTATAAAATTTCTGAAATAGCATTCATAGCTGGATTTTAGGCTGGTAGGTTTACTTTTATATTCTGAAATCTGTTGAAGAACGTGGGTATCTTGGGGAATAAATTGATCTTAAGCAATTATTTGTAAGGAAGGGAAAACACTAACAAGAATTTAACAGTAACATCTTGGGATCAAACTTTTAATATAACTCTATTCTGATAGTATATAGTATGCTCTTAGTATTTTTACTTCCCAAATGTTAGATTATGTTTTGATACCATATTCTAAAGTAGTCTTGGTATGAAAAATTCAAACCGAAATCGTAATATATGCCTTCCTGGGTATGGTATGATGACTTGTGTGGACATATTTTTTGCAGAAATGCTTATGATTCATTGACTCATAAAAACACCTTATACTGGAAAAAAGCAACCTTCAATTTAATACACCAAATTCACACACTGTTCCAAATCAGGATGAGCGCTCATAAGAGTATACAATTGTTTCCTCAGGTAGAACGCCACTTGTCCAGGAAAAGCTTCCAGAATGGTCCACTACCTAGGATAGCTAATTGTAGTCAACTTGCCTGCCAACAAAGGACTTAGTTTCAACTGCTGTTTCTTTACCCCTCATGAAAAAAAGCAGGTAAGTTTTGTATGTTCAAATGCATTTCAGGATTGCAGTATTTCTGCCCTACTTAGCTAAAGCTTCTGTTTGAGAAAGCAGGGTCCTGTTTTCTTCTCAACTTCCTTCCTACTCTCACACGTGCATGAACTCACACTGGCTTATTCACCAAAAAGTCATTAACACCTGGCTAGGTCTGGTCCTATTCCCTGACCTCGAAGAAGCAAGCTTTCCCATATGGTGAGTCTCAGTGATTTTTGTGCTTGCCTCCTCGTCCTCTTTTTGGTTCAGGACTAAGACAAGAAGCCAGTTGAATGGGTTTTAATCCCCTTTCCCCCTCAAACCTAGGCCATGTTGTGTAAGTGAAATCTGATGGGAGTTTGGTTGGTAAACGTAGTGAAGAATGCTTGGGTCTCTGGCTACACAGGTGATGATTAGAATTTGTGTTGTCTTCTCAGACACGGACATTTACAGATGAAAGATATACATAGCACCTAGATAGTTTTTTATTTTTATTTTTGGATGGATCTTAGTCCCTCTCCACCCCACCCTGCCCCCACCCCCAAGGGTTTCTTTTTATAAAAGGGAATATTTTAAGCCTCAGTCCGAGGGCATGTTAGGTAATAAATAAAAATCAGTTGGCTGCTAGTCGTTTATTTCCAGGACCATCTCGAAGCACAGTATTTTAAAAAGATATGAAATGGTTTGTGAGTTTTTTTTTTTCCACTCTGTCATGCCAATTAGTCAAAAGAAGAAACAAATATCATGCATGTTTTTTTTTTTTCAATCCTCTGTGAAAACGCATATATGCCTGCTATGAGAGTCCTCAGCAGAATCTATAGCAGTTGTGCTTTTGATCGTATCAATTTTTAAAATCTGTCGGAAAGGAAAGGTAACATTCAGTCTCGTCATCAGCACGGTTGGGAAATTAGGAAACTTCTAGCACTGGTTTGACATGCCCTCTTGACCAACAGACGTGTGGCCCTCTTCCGTGCGGTGTAGACACCGGCTTGCATGAATGTATCCTCCGACCTCCCCGGAAGGAAAGGAAGAGCCCTGATTTTGTACCACGGTCATCTATTGTACCCACTATAATATTTTCTGATCTTCCTGATAATTCTAGCAAGATCCAGACTCTTTGACTAGATTGACATGTTTCTGACAGTCTTTCAAAGTATAGTCAGAGCAAAGCAAGGTCATCGCAACACTAGAAGACATCTCAATACTGGGGTGAAAGGCTTTGCTTCAGGACCACCATGTCAACTGCTATTTTGAGGATCCAACAGAAAACATGTAAAGAGCACTACTGTCATCTAAGCAATAAGTCCTAATGCCACTGTAGTTACCGGAGCAGCATCGATCAAAGGCATCATGGTGACCCCGAGCACTAATCTTCTCTCCGTCCCTCAGGTTTGCTGGCAGCTGTGTCTCAGGAAAAGCTGACTTCAGCAAGGCAGAAGCAGGTAAGAGAAATACATTAGAAGTCTATGTCCCATCCCGAGTTGTCATCAGGGGGCGGCTCGTCATTGTCCTCAGGGAAACTGTCGAAATTGCTTGTGTCTGTGGGTGATGCCACCTGCAGGTGAGAGGAGGGACAGGGAAAGGATTTCTGCATTGGGGAGTCAAATGCCAAACAGAGTCTTACAAAGCGTTCTTTCTTCATTCCCCAATCAACAGCTATTTTTTTAAGCGTCTACTAGGTACAGGTTTTGTGCTTTGCATTGGGGGGGGGGCACAGTGGTGACTAAAAACAGACATGGCTCTTATCATCATGGAGTTTCTACTCTAGCAGAGGGTACACTGTAAGATTAAAACAAAGAATCTAAAGCTGATTAGAAAGTTTGGTTACTGCTACGAAGAAAAATGAGTATAAGAGGGATGATGGAAAGCCACTTTGAAAAAATTTTATTTTAAAACTAAGTATTGGGTTCGATTTTTGCCCATGCAAAGGTCCTGAGGTGAGAGTGCTTTATGCTGTGAAGTAATCAAAGAAGGCCAACGTGGCTGCCGTATAGGAGAGGAGAGTACTTGAGTGAGAAATAGAAATCAGGTCATGCAGAGCCCTGTACACTATCTTAAGGCTTTTGTGTAATTCAAGGGTACTAAAAAGCCATTCCTAAACTCAAGCAAATTACTGGGTAAAGGCCCTTCTGGAGAACATCAGTAAAAGCAATCCATGCTTTAGTTTCCCTCATATTCTAGGATATTTACAACCATGTATATATTAATAGTGAATGAAATATATATGGGTATAATCCATAAATATGTACTGTTCAGTAAGGCTTACTATTTACCCTCCAAGTTTCTTATTCTATTTTTGTTCTAAACAAACAAACAAACAAAACAAAACAAAAAAACCCCCCAAAACTTCAGGTATGCCATTAGCATCTGTCATGGGAAGTATGGTAATGGAATTTGTTTTGCTTGTGTTATCACAGAAATAAAACTTAAAAGTAGGGAAAACATTTCTGTATAAGGAGCAGTCTTGAGTTAGTCCCAGAAAAAGGGAGTCAAGACCTGAATGGCTCAGGACAGCAAAGCAACCCCCTGCCTCTTTGTAAAGATACAGGACATTTCATGGGACAGATTTATTTTATTAAAAAATACTTGATCACCCTTATTGGGCTGCTATTTAACAAAACACCTGACATGCAGAAAAGACAGTTAAGGAAAGACAATCCTTTTCTTCCGGAGCCTCATGAAAGGGTAGATGAACACAGTATTGCCTGGGAGTACTTGGAAGTGAGCTGGGAGCATAAAAGAGACAATATTGGCCAGGAATTGGTAGCTGCCGAAAACAGAGTGCATAGGAATGCTCCGAGTGGCTTTTATGGATTAGGCTCTTGGGGACAGAGCAAGAAAGGGCATAAACTGTGATCATAAAGACAAAGTAATAGCCCATTGCCCTAATTCACCCACATGGACTCTTGTATACACTAAACTGGTCATAATTCATGAGTAGTCCTAATGCGTGAGTAGTCCTAATGTATTCTTGGGCAATGATGTATGAAGTTCAGATATTCTGGAAAAGAAAAAAAAAAAAGGAAACTGGTTGCTGGACACCCATTATGTTCTTCTGTCTCCATCAGTGGATACTGAACACTTATTGTACTGCAAGCCCATTTTTAGTCACAAAGAAAAGAAATTAGAATGAATAGTTTAGAAAGATAATGGCCAAGTATATATAAAACGACCATCCCCTAACTGACCTGCGTTTAGGCTTGGGTTTTATATACGACTATTCTAAGATGGTACTTCTCCTGTAGTTTATTTAATCTGAACATACGATAAAACTTTAACACTGACATAAACACTGTACATGTGTCACAGAGCTATAAGTTGGATCGTGTACTTACACTTGGTATTATGGGTGGTGTCAAGGTCCCTTTTCTTAAGCCTTCCCAGTTAAAGCCCTCAAACCATCTAGGGAAGGAAAAAAAGAAAAGGCAGCTAGTTAAAGGAATTTTTCTTCAGCTAAAACTTCACTGCAACATACGTGATAGAAAGGAACTAGGCAAACATTTTCCACGTGACAAGAACGTGTTCTCTTTAATTGCAAATTTTTCTACTCAGGGTTTTTAAAATATGCCTTCCATACAGTAAGTTAATTGTTGAAATACTGAACACCAATTAGAAAATAACTCCTTTTCCAGGCATTTCAGGCAGAATGTCTGTATGACCTTATTCTTATATTATCATTATAACTTAACAAATGTCATGATCTGTTTGGCCCTGAGCTTTATAGGACATTTGATTTTAAGGCTGTAGAACCAGGGCATGAAAAGTCAGGATAGAAAATTATCCTTTTAGCTTTGTACGGATTCTGTGGGTGGCCTCAGTTAATTAACCTTTCCACATCACTGTATTAGGTCTAACTCTGACTTGGCACTTTTTTTGCATGTTTGTAGAAAATTAAATATGCAATACTAGGGTCATAACAATTCCTAATTAAATGGCAACACATTTAATTAAAATAGACTGAAGGTATTTTGTGTAGTTTTTCCCTGTGAAAATGCGGACCAGACAATGCTAACGTTTTTGGTTCAGTTCTGTCTTTAAAGTAGCAAATGCTTACACTAAATTCTGAGCAGGCATTTTAGATATTTTGATACGTAAGTTCATCTGGTATGTGAATTTCTTGTGAGGGTTGCAAAAACAGACTCATTAAAAAAAAATTTGGTCTTAGTTTAGCATTCAAATATCCAATTAACTAGGTAAGGTTTAATATTTAAGATGTTGCTGTGGTTTAAAAAAAAAAACACTTTTTTTTTTTTTTTCTTTATCATCTACTTAGGAAGTGATGAGAAAAATATATTCCAGTTTTAGTCTGGGAAATGAGGTATAATATGGTAGAGGACTTTTGTTTTTGATACCCTGGTAGAGAGGAGAATCCCAGAATTAAAAGTACACATTTCCTCTTTGAGCTAGAGAGGAAAAAGGCCCATTAGTGTGAGTTGGGAGAAACTGAATTCAGTGAACCAGTCGCTTAGTATGGCTTGGGGTCGTGTGTATCCATGTGATGTCCCCGAGATACAGCAGAAGGGCCTTACGTCAGAAGGCTAACTGGTCTGACGTCCCCTTGGGTGCTCCCATAGGCTAAGTGCACCCATTACCCAGCCTTGGGGGAGCAGGTACCTGTCTTGCTTTCTGGACCCTCCACAGTAAAGGGACGAGGAAAGAACACTTACTTGTGCTTCTGAATGTCTTTCACGCCGTTTTTCAAATTCCCTAATCTTTCTGATGGGTTATCCCTGGAAAGAAAATAAGAACTGTAAGGAATCTAATCACTTCTGAATTAGGATCCTTTCAAAAGCTATGGGGCTGAAATGCTTACCTGCATAGTTTTTTAATTAAATTAGCAGCATTTTTGGCAATCTTCTTTGGAAATTCTATCATGTCAATCCCCCTCAGTATGATGTTATATGTTTTCATAGGATCTGGGCCTGAGAAAGGTGGGCTGTGAGAGAAATGAAAAGAGAATCACTTTGGTTTTCTAAACAAGAAATCTTGAATTGTTATAACCTCACAGAACATCTATTCTTATCTGGGGACACACCTGAGTAGTGGTAACGAAATGATGCTGGATTAATAGCAAAACAGGATGGAAACCTTTTCAAGGAAATCACTTAGCAAAACCATCCTGGGTCAAGTTTGTCTGCTGTCTTTTTAGTGCAGGTGCGGGACCCCTCTTGCTGTCCTTGGCCATTCAAGATGCTTCTTCCACTTTCTAGCCCCTTCCCTGCCCTTGATTACACCTGAGATGAAGTCCAAAATCACTAGAATGTCCCAAGGACATCAGTGATAGGACATCATCGCCTGCCAATACTACCCTCACTCACTAGGATCAGCACACCGTTACTGGTCACGGAACTGATCCCATGACCTCTACAACCAACATAAAGTTTAAATTAAAGGATTAGATTAAGTTGTTGCATTTTTAAAAAAGATTTTATTTGTTTAATGTAATCTCTGCACCCAACGTGGGGCTTGAACTCCCAACCCTGAGGTCAAGCGTCGTATTGCTCCACTGACAGAGCCAGCCAGGCACCCCTTGAATTTAAACTTGTGGCCTGCCATGCTCTCTGACACACCCTTTATGCCACTTTCTATGCTTTGTATCTGTCTTCTTTCCAGACTCAGTCTTGTTCTCAGTCTTGCAGTGTTCCCAGAGTGTAGGAGAATGCCCAGCACAGAGCATGTGATCAGTGATCTGCTGACTGAGTCCTTCTGCAGAGGAATGCTCCTCCTACCCTCTCCTCCCGGTCATCAGTCCTCAGTGGATAACCTGACACAAGGCATCCTTATTAGGAGGCCCCACGAGCCAGACCAATCCGCGGAGCGTAGCTTTGTGCCAGGCTCAGGGAACACAGAGATGAAAAAGACCCCTCCTTCCATCAAAGTGATGCACCCGGACAAATAATTGCTTTGGAAATTGTTCTCCTAATACCAGATTCATGTCTCTATTGATGATGATTTTTGCCCATCACATTCACCAAGAGCAGTTCAAATTATTTCCTTTGAAGGAGCGGGCTCCAAACAAGGAAGGGCCCCAGCGAAAGTGTTCCTGGTGATGTTAGCAGGAGAGCGGCCGTGGCATCTTTGGAGCGTGGCCTTTGCTCTACACCCCTCTGCTCAGCGCCTCATACCTTCACAGAAGCCCCACAAGGGACCCGAGGCTTAAAATCCTAGGTCTCGCTGTCCTTTCCACTACTACTTTCTCTTTAGCAAGCCTTTCTTCCCACAGCCCTCTTACCTGTTCGAACTTCTGAGCTTCCCAGATGTGAATTACTGGAATGCCCTTCCACCCAGCGAGCCTGTTCCTTTCCTAGTTTGCCCCTACACATGACGACTGGCTGCTTACTCCTAAACCCTACCACACAGGTTCCTACTCCTTTTCAGAAAATACTCAATGACTCCTCCGGATGAATTGCAGACATTCACGTGTAGCCAGCGGTGAGCCTCAGGAGATGACTCTTACCGATCTCCTATTATTATTAATTTCCTATTGAAGTGTAGCGGACACACAGCGTTGATTAGTTTCCGGTGTAGAACACAGCAACCCCACCAAGCCCTGTGCTACGCTGTGCTCGCTGCAGGTGTCGCTGTCATCTGTCCCCACAGAGTGCTGTACTACTGACTATATCCCCTGCGCTGTGCCCGCCATCCCGACTTCCTCATTCCATGGCTTGTACCTCCCACTGCCCCCGCCCTTCTGGCAACCGTCAGTTTGTTCTCTGTATTTATGGGTTCTGCTCTTTTAGTTTCTTTCTTTTTAAGATCCCACGGAGAAGTGAAATCAGATGGTATTTGTCCTTGTCCGCCTGCCCTATTTCACATAGCATGATACCCACTAGGTCCATCCATATTATTGCAAATGGCAAGATCTCATTCTTTTTTATGGCTGAGTAATAGTCCTGCGTGTATGTATCTGTATCTACCTCACCTTCTTTATCCCTTTATCTGTTGACGGACATTTAGGCTACCTTCCTTACTTGGCTAACGTAAATAATGCTGCAGTACACATAGGGGTGCATATATTCTTTTGAATTAGTGTTTTCCTCTTCTTTGGGGAATACCCAGTATGGAATTGAATTGCTTGGTAGTCCTAGTTTTAATTTTTGAGGAACGTCCATACTGTTTCCCACAGTGGCTGCACCAGTTTGCATTCCTATCAAACAGTGTATGAGGGTTCCTTTTGCCCTCCACCCTCCCCATCATTTGCTATTTAACCATTCTAACAAGTGGGAGGTGACATCTCATGGTGGTTTGGGTTTGTATTTGAGCATCTTTTCATGTGTCTGCCGGCCATCTGGATGTCTTCTTTCGAAGAATTACTAGTTAGGTCCTCTGCTCATTTTTAAATTGCATTATTTCTTTAGTATTGAGTTGTAGGAGTTCTTTGTATATTTTGGAATATTAACCCCTAATTGGACATATTATTGGCTATATTGCAAATATCTTCTCCCATTCACTAGGCTGCCTTTGTGTCTTGTTTCCTTTGCTGTGCAAACACTTTTAATTTTGGTTTAGTTTATTTTTATCTTTGTTTCCCTTACATTAAAAGACACATCTAGAAAAATGTTGCTAACATGGATGTCAAAAAGATTACTGGCATGTCTGGGAGGCTCAGTTGGTTGAGCATCTGCCTTTGGCTCAGGCCATGATTGTGGGGGTGTGGGATGGAGCCCTAAATCGAGCTCCCTGCTCAGGGGGGAGCCTGGTTCTCCTCCTTCTGCCCCCGCTCATTCTTTTTCTCTCAAATAAATAAAATCTTTAAAAAAAAAAAACATTCTTGTCTATGTTTTTTCTTCTAGGAGTTTTATGGTTTCAGGTCTCACATTTAGGTCTTTTATCCATCTTGGGATTATATCTGTGGATGGTGTAAGGAAGTGGTCTAGTTTCATTCTTTTCCATACAGCTGTCCAGTGTTCTGAAGAGACTATTTTCACCCTATTGTATATTCTTGCCTCCTTTTTTGGAGATAAATTGTTCATAAAAGAAAATGTTTATTTCTGGGCTCTCTATTCTGTTCCAAAGATCTTGGTATCTGTTTTTGTACCTGTATCCTATGGTTTTGATTACTATTGTTTTGTAGTATATCTTGAAATCTGGGATTGTGATGCCTCCAGCTCTGTTCTTTCTTAAGATCACTTTGGCTATTCAAGGTCTTCTGTGGTTCCATACAGAGTTTACTATTATTTGTTCTAGTTCTGTGAAACATGCTATTGGCATCTTGATAGGAATTGCACAGAATCCGTAGAGTGCTTTGGATAATATAGACATTTTAACAATATTAATTCTTAATGTCCAGGAACATAGAATATCTATCTATTCCAATTTCTTTCATCAATACTTAATAGTTTTTAGAGAACAGGTCTATCACCTCCTTGGCTAAATTTATTTTATTTTATTCTTTTTGGTGCAATTGTAAATGGAACTGGCTGTTTTAATTTCTCTTTCTGCCACTTTGTTGTTAGTGTCTAGAAACACCACAGATTTCTGTATATTAATTTTGTATTCCGTAACTTTACTGAGCTCACTTATAACAGTTTTTTGATGGAGTCTTTATAGTTTTCTATGTATAGTATTATGTCATCTGCAAATAGTGACAGTTTAGCTACTTCCTTACTAGTCTGGATACATTTTATTTCTTTTCTTTGTCTGATTGCTTCAGCCATGACTTCCATTACCATGTTGAATAAGAGTGGTGAAAATGTATTGTTTCTGGATCTTAGAGAAAAATCTTGGTTTTTAGCTACCCTATTGGGACATTATTATGTTAAAGCATGTTCCATCTAAACCCACTTTGACAGTATTATTATAAACAGATGTTGAATTCTGTCAAAAGCTTTTCATGTATCCACTGAGATGATCATATGGGTTTTGCCCTTTCTCTTGTTCATCTGATTTATAATGATGATTAATTGGAGACTATTGCACCACTCTTGCAACCCTGGAATAAATTCCACCTAATTGTGGTGAATGATCCTTTTTTTTTTTTTTTTTTTTAAAGATTTTATTTATGTATTTGACAGAGACCACAAGTAGGCAGAGAGGCAGGCAGAGAGGGGGAGAGGAGGAAGCAGGCTCGCCACTGAGCAGAGAGCCCGATGCGGGGCTCGATCCCAGGACCCTGAGATCATGACCTGAGCTGAAGGCAGAGGCTTTAACCCACTGAGCCACCCAGGCGCCCCGTGAATGATCCTTTTAATGGATTGTTGAATGTGGTTTGCTAATATTTTGTCAAGAATCTTTGCATCCGTATTCTTCAGGGATTTTGACCTGCAGTTTTCTTTTTTGGTAGTGTCTTTGGTTTTGGTGTCAGTACAGTGCTGGTCTCATAGAATGCACTTGGAAGCTTTCCTTCTATTTTTTTTCCTAATTGTTTGGGGGAGATTAGCTTTAACATTCTTTAATGTTGGGTAGACTTCGCCTGTGAAGAATTCTAGTCCCCGCCTTTTGTTTGTTTGGGTTTTTTGCTTACTGATTTAATTTTGTTACTTGTTTTTGTCTGTTCAGATTTCTATTTCTTCCTGATTTTGTTTTGGAAGATTGTATATTTCTAGAAATTTATCCATTTCCTTATATGCCAACAAAGTGGACAATCTAAATTTTTATAGCATTCATGTTTTGTAACATTTGTATTCCGTTGGTGTCATTTTTTACTTCCCTTTCCTGATTTTAATTATTTGGATTTTGGATCCTCTTTTTTTCTACATGAGTCTTGCTAGAGGTTTATTTTTTCAAAAAAAAAAAAATTCTTACTTTCATTGATCTTCTGTATTATTATTTCTTTGGTCTTTTTTCCCTGATTTTTATTATTTCCTTCCTTCTAACTTTGGCCTTTGCTTGTTCTTTTTCTAGTTTCTTTAGGTGTAAGGTTAGATTGAGAATTTTCTTGTTTCTTGAGGTAATCCTGTGCCCTATTAATTTCCTTCTTAGAGCTGCTTTTGCTGCTTCCCAAAGATTTTGGATTGTTGCATTTTCATTTGTCTCCATATATTTTGTTTGTTTCCATGTATTTTTAACAATTTCCTTTTTGATTTCTTCATCGACACAGTGGTTGTTTAGTAGCATGTTGTTCAGCCTCTGCATGTTTTTGGTTTTTTTCCAATTTTTTCTTGTAATTGTAGTTTCATACCGTTGTGGTTGGAAAACATGTTTTGTGGTCTCAGTTGTGCTCGATCCTGGGGAATGTCTCATGTGCACAGGGAAAGAGTACATTCGGCTGCTTTGGGCTGGAATGGTCTGTACATACGTTATGTCCATCTAATCCCACATGTCTTTCAAAGACACAGTCTCCTTATTGATTTCTTTGCCTGGATGATCTGTCCATTGATATAAGTAGGGTGTAAATATCCCCTACTGTTATTTTATGACTGTCCATTTCTCCCTTTATGTCTGTTCATACTTGCTTGATAGATGTAGGTGCTCTCATGTTGGGTGATCAATATTTACAACCATTAGGTCCTCTTGTTGGATCGATCCCTTTATTACTGTGTAAGACTTGTTTGTCTTTGCTACAGTCTTTTTCAGTCTATTGTATCTGACAGAAGTCCTCCTGCTGCAACATTTATTTATTTGCTTTGCCTTCCCTTTGCATGGAGTATCTTTTTCCATTTTTTCACTGTCAGTGTGTCTTGAAGACTGAAGTGTGCCTCTTGCAAGCAGTATAGGTCTTTTCTTTTTTAGCCATCCCATCATTCTGTGTCTTTGATTGGAGCATTTAGACCATTTACATTTGAAGTCACTGTTCACAGGTGTGTACTTACTACCGTTTTTGTTAGGTGCTTTCTGGTTGTTTCTGTAGTCCTCAGTTTCTTTTTCTCTTCTCTTTCCTTGATGAGTTTCTCTAGTGTTATGTTCGGTCTTTTGTCTACCTTTTATAGTTTTCAGGTTTGTGGTTACCATGTGGTTATAGTTTTTAGGTTTGTGGTTAACATATCCTACCTATAGGCAATGTTAAGTTGATGGTGACTTACGTTCAAAGCATTCTAAAAGAACTTGATTTTTACTCCCTTCCTGCCACTTTGTGTATATGTTGTCATACTTTACATTTTTTGGATATAGTTGATTTTACTTACTTTTGTCTTCATACTAGCCTTATAAGTCATTGCTCTATTACCTTTACTGTATGTTTGCTTTTATTATAATTTTCTTCTAATTATGGTCTTTTCAACTGAAAGAATTCCCTTTAACTTTTTTTTTTTTTTTTTTTTTTTTTAAGTAAGGCCTGTTTAATGGTAATGAACGCCTTCATTTTGATGGCCTGGGAAACTCTCTCTCCTTCAAATCTGAGTGATAAATTTGATGGTAGTGTATTCTTGGTTGTAGGTATTTTTCCTTTTGGCACTTTGTACCATGCCACTCCCAGATGATTGCAAAGTTTCTCCTGAAAAATCAGTTGATAGCCATACATAACTAGGAGTTTCTTTCTGGCTCTTGAAAAAATTTTTTTTCTCTTTAATCTTTGACAGTTCAAATATTATGAGTCATGGGTTTATCTTGTTTGGAACTTTTTGGGTTTCCTAAATCTGAATGTCTATTTCCTTTTCTAGGTTAGGGAAGTTTTGAGTTATTATTTCTTCAAATATGTTCTCTGCCCTTTTTTTGGTCCCCTCTCTCTTCCCCTTCTGGGACCTAGATAATGGGAAGACTGTTTGATATTTTCTAAGATCTCTCTCCCTCTTTTTTTTTTTTTTTTTGTTTCTGTTTCCATTACCCTGTCTTCTAGGTCTCTGATCCATTCTCCTGTCTCTTCTGATTTCCTATTGATACCTTCAGTATATTCTTCATTTCCATTATTGTGTTCCTCAACTCTGACTCATTCCTTTTTCTTGTATTTTTCTATCTCTTGGTTAAAGTTCTTTTTTTTTTTTTTTAAAGATTTTATTTATTTATTTGACAGATAGAGATCACAGGTAGGCAGCAAGGCAGGCAGAGAGAGAGAGAGGAGGAAGCAGGTTCCCCGCTGAGCGGAGAGCCCGATGTGGGGCTCGATCCCAGGACCCTGGGATCATGACCTGAGCCGAAGGCAGAGGCTTTAACCCACTGAGCCACCCAGGCGCCCCATCTTGGTTAAAGTTCTTACAAAGTTCACCCATGCTTATCTCCATTTCATTTACTTTTTTTTTTTTTTTTTGAGTTTTGTGTTGTTCTCTCATTTGCAGTGTATTCCTCTCTCTCCTCCTTCTGCTTGACTTGCTTTGCTTCTAGAATTAGGGAGAACAGCTACTTCTCCACTTGAAGGAATGATCTGGTATATGGTCACCCCTGTGTAGACTGTGTGGCCTGGTGACTTTGGCTGGCTGTACAGAGCTGTAGCTATCCTGGATTTGGGGGCATGGACCATTTTGTTTGGGGCCATCCTGGTAGGATGGTCAGAGCAATGTGGGCAGGGGCAGTCCCAGGGTTCTCCACAGAGAAGATGCCTGGCCAGGACAGCTGATGCTCAAGTGGGCATGAGCTGGGGTGGTACTGGGGCTCTCCAGGAAGCAGACACCTTGAAGGACAGCTAGAGCCATGGTGGGCATGGGTAGGGATTATCCTGGCAAGGTAGGACATGGCTGGAGTGTTTTGGGGTGCTCTGCACCTGTTGTACTTTGGTGAAATGGCTGGAGCCATTGTGTCCTGGTATGTGCCATGCTGGGGCCACACTGGTGGGACCAGCTCCAGTGCCCAGGTTCTGCTCCTCTCTGCACTGTCAAGGTGGTGGGAAAACATAAATAGGGGTGCCTGCCAGCCCCTTCGACCTGTAGGGAGTTCCAGCAGCTCTCCCGCCCTTGGGCAGGATTCTAGGGCTGGTCCCTTTATTTGAAGTTGCCCTTTTAAGCCATGACTTTTTTTCTTTGCCCAGTGCAGAGGCATCTGTTCCCTGTCCCCCCTGTACTAGTCCTCCTCACTGCAGTTCACCCTCTCACCTCTATCTCCCCTGTCATTCTCTAAGTGGTCCCTCTCTATCTTTTGATGTGCAAAAGCCATTCAGTCAGCCCTCAGTTTCCCATTATTATTTTTTACATGAAGCTACTGCCCTCTAGTGGATGCATGTCTCTGTCTGGACTGTCCTCTCCTTGGTCATACGTCCAAGACCCCTTCTTCCTTCAGGACCTGGCTGTGGTCTTGCCTTACTCAACAGCTTCCCCTGAACACACTGAGCCCTCTTTGGAACTCTGTGCTTTATAACAACCCTACTACTACTTGTTGCCTGGTCCTGGCAGGATGGTCTATTGGTTTTTCTTGTCCTTGGGGAGCTTACAATCTGTCTTATACCTGGAAGTAGCCACAGTACCCTTTTTAGTTGTGGATGACTGTAATATTATTACACAGAAGCATTCTCATTTCATGAGAAGCATTCTCATTTCATGCAAAGCATTCTCATTTCATGTAGATGTAACAACATGTCCTCTTATTTCTACAAATAGTTGACCCTAGATATTTTTATAACACCATTATCTCCCTTGCTCCATTGCTGGCTAAGGGACTAGGCTCGAAGACCTCCTGGAAAGACACAAGATTATTCCACACTCTCATATACATATAAAAATTTAGCAACGATGAGGCCAAAAGTTGGCGTTGAGTTTTTTGCCCTCATTGGACCCATCTTAGAGTTTTGTTTGATGAACTCTTGGTCACTAGCATAATTCATGGAAGTACTGGAACAAGAAAGAGTGAGATGTGCTGGAAGATGGCCTGAGCAGAGGGAGAAAGGCACACGTGTGTAGCTGTCCACTGGTCTATTTTTATCAGTGGTTCTATGTCAATGCCCATACCTGCCAGTCAGAAGTTCATACATCAGGATTCCCAGTGACCAGTAGTCGGCGGAAATGTCATGGCCTTTGTTCAGGATGATCTCTGGGGCTACGTACTCCGGAGTCCCACAAAAAGTCCATGTTTTCTTTCCAAATCCTATTTTCTTTGCAAAGCCAAAATCAACCTTACAAAGAGAGAGAAACAGGTTATTTCAAGACCCTTACATAAAGCTGAAAGGCAGTACCGAGCTGCAGTGCACTGACGAGACAATGAAAACTGAGGCACATTCCTGTGGTCCCGGGCTCTGAAAGGAGTCCTCTTTACTGCAAACGACACAGTCTCCCTCAGGTTCAATGGCAAAAGCTGAAACCTGAGTCGGGAATGAAACTGGCATCATCACAGATAAGGGCAAATTTTTCTTTCCAGAAATATTTTCCATCTGCTCTTCTTTTCATGCCAAGGGAGGTTGGGCCATAACTCCTTTACTGAAAATGTTTAAAAGACCAGTTGGACCTCCTTGACCAATTTTCCCGAATATGCAGGATTTCTGCTGCCTTGAGGTGGCTGGGAATGCGTTTAGCATTAAGAAGCCACTTGACAGCTGAAGAAGCTGAGGCACAAGCTTCATCCCAGCCCTTGGTAAACACAAACAGGGACAAAATGCAAATGCGTTCTTTTTTTTTTTTTTCCTTCTAGCAACCTTTTGATGGAGGAGCATCAAATGCAGAAAATCTATTTTTTTCTAAAACAATGTGGTTGAGAATAGAAATCATTAACTGCCCTTGATTTGATTTCTTTGAAAACCACAGGCTGAATGGAAATTCCAAAAGTTGGAATATAGAGTCAGGCACTGGCAGATGCAATGGCCATAAAAACTGTACATTTTTTTTTAAAGATTTTATTTATTTATTTGACAGAGATCACAAGTAGACGGAGAGGCAGGCAGAGAGAGAGAGAGAGAGAGAGAGAGGGAAGCAGGCTCCCTGCTGAGCAGAGAGCCCGATTCGGGATTCGATCCCAGGACCCTGAGATCATGACCTGAGCCGAAGGCAGCGGCTTAACCCACTGAGCTACCCAGGCGCCCCAAAACTGTACAATTTATAATAAAAGAACTTCTGTCCCGTGGTAAGTCTTTAGAGGGCTTGACCAATTTTATTATTATGAAGATCACTACTATTATTATAGTTAAAATGGCCCAGATAACATCACCTACCAAGCCCTCCCCCCTCCCATAAGATTATACATGAACCAGGGCGCCTGCGTGGCTCAGTCAGTTCAGAGGCTGTGTTAGGCTCAGGTCATGAACCCAGCAGCCTGAGATCCAGTCCTCCTGTGGGCTCCCTTGCTCAGTGGGGAGTCTGCTTCTCTCTCAAATAAATAAATAAAATCTTAAAGATTATACGTAAAACGGTTCACTTTTTTCTACAGTGTAAATATTCCTTTCCTGTGAACGGCAGAAAGCAGATTCAGAAAAGGTCTCCAAAGGTCTTCTAGATCTAGAACACAGCCATTTAAACACATTCTGCACGGCAGTATTAAATTAGATGTAGCCTATTTAATTTCTTACACAACTTTTGCATCATTTGAAAAGAACAGTTCCTTGAGAATAGCAACGCTAAAATCTGCTTTTAAGAAAAGTTACAGCATTTACACGGGGAAGTGGAGATGTTCATGAACACAGTTTGACAAAGGAGTATTTTAAAACTGCAGGGCAGACTCGGTGTGTAGAGGGCACTGACCAGCTTGGTGTAGCCTCTGTGATCCAGGATGAGATTTTCTGGCTTGAGGTCCCTGTAAATGATTCCTTTGGAATGCAGATAGGCGAACGCTTCCACCACGCATGCTGTGTAAAATCTTGTCGTAGAATCTTCAAATGAACCTCTGAGACACAGAAAAGGAAAGCACAGAAGACATTAGTTTCTCGGACACGATTTCAGTCGTTTTCTCATTTCAAGATATTCCTGTGCTTCATTTGCAAAGAATGGCTGTTTGAAAACAGTAAAACCGAAATCTGCTTTTAAGAAAAGTTACCGCATTCACAAGGGGAAATAGAGATATTCATGAACACAGCTTGACAAATGAGTATTTTAAAACCTCAGACCTGGTTTTTTTTCCTACAAAGTTCCGCAACTACTAATGTCCCCTGAGTTATCACTGAAATAATTAGTTCTTCCCAAAGAAACAGTTTCCTTTTGAAATACAATTCAAGGCATGAGGCTATCTACACTCACAGATACTAGAATCTTCACTCTCCTTAGGAAAACTCTAGTTCCTCTTCAACAATGTATGCACGAAACAATTGTGAATAGATAAGGACAAGAAAAAGTTTCTCCGAGCAGGAATGATACATTGTATGCTGCAACCATCTGCTGACTTGGAACTCACTTTGCAGAGGGAACACTGCAATTCTGTGGATTTCGGTGAGCCTTTTTGAAAGCCCACAAATTCTTGGTTATTCTTTGGAATTGTTTCTGCATTTGTCACTCTGGGCAACATTACTGTTTTCCTTCTTATTCACTTGGTAATGGGACGAAATAGACAAATACATTGTAAATATTGTCAGGAAAGTGAACATTTACGAGAGATCAACCTCTCATGAAATCTCAGCAGAAGGGTACTCAAAGGTGTATTCTGACTCAATCGGTCACTAGCAGGAAGATGAAAACAAAAACCCTAATACAAACTCAGATTCACTGGAGGAGGCTCTAAGTTAGGAATATGGACACTCAAGCAAGAAACCTGGGTTCAAATTCGGGTTTCACTTATTTAATTTTGAGCAACTAACTGTGCCTCCCTCAGACTCTATGATTCTCTTGTGCAAAATGGGGCCAGTAATAGAAACTATCTCACTGGATTGTCTTAAGTATACAAATAATTGTTGCATATATTTAGAATTAGTGCCTGGCACACAACTGGGCCCCTGGTAAATATGAGCCATTCTAACTGAGCACTGAAATAGTCTTCTTTAGCTGCTGTGTCTTAATCTAGGAAAACTGAATAACATAGACACATCTGAAGTCTTCTGGGGATGGGAGCGAGGAATCTGTGATAATTAACACTGTCTTTGGGGTATTTGCTGCCTTTCATGGCCAAGGTTAACTGCCATAGATCGCTCCCAACTTTCATCGTAAAGTAAACTGACCACCAACATTAACCTTTGGGTCCTCAGTGCTTGACAGCTCTGTTTCAAGGTTTCTCTGATTCTGAGCCATTTGGGAATTTGGAAGGTTCTAGAAAGCTAGTTTCCATTCCTTGAAAAATCTATTTTGAGTCTCTCCCCTACAGAAGCATATTTGTAACTGATTTTTAAAATTAAATGAAAATGCTATCTCAAATCTGTTTCCATGTTATGTGGCAAATCGACCTAGTATATGCATACAAAATATCTATCAGCAACACAGCTTTATCACTAAACCTTTGATGTGGGTAATTTGCAGACTTTAAAATGTACTTCTAGAATGCAGTCACAAAGCATAGCATTCGGGTGACTCAAAATGAAAAATTACTATTAGAATTGAAAATGACAACATATATTTGATCTAAAATAAAAATGAAAGCTTGTTTTATCAACAGAAAGTTGCTTAAAGAAATAAATTACTGCCCTAAATAGCTCTTGAAAATAATAAATTATGCCTTGACAGCTGTGTCATTTCAATTAAAACAAGGACGGAATAGGGTCTTACACCTTCTTTGGGAAGGGGTGGTAATTTTATTTTAGCTAGATGGCCGTCAACAACTTGAGAGAATTAGAGGCGTATGTATACTTATGGATAGACCCAGCTTTCGATTTAATCACAGTGTTTAATCTACTTGTCATAAATAGGGTCCTGAAATGATAGAAAGCAGCAAAGATACAGCACGTTCCTGTTTTGCCTACTAACGCCAATCATGAGTATACCTGAAGGGTATGGCAACCCGCGAAGGTTAACCACCAAGTGTAAAGTAAGGGATATGAAATTAGTATGAAAGTGACCCATTTCCTTGAAATACTGCTTCTCGTTGTGGTCCAAGTGTAAATACAATGTTTCAGATGTACAACCTAACAATTCAGTGACTCTACATCACTCAGTACTCACCATGGTTCAGTGTTGTCACCGTCTGTCACCAACATTATTACAATATCACTGACTGTATTCTCAATGCTGTACTTTTCATCTCTGTGACTGATTTATTTTATAACTAGAAGTTTGTATTTCTTGCTCCCCTTTATGTATTTTACCCATTCCCCTCCCCCTACCCCAACCTCCCCTCTGGAGGAGACAAACCACTGGTTTGTTCTCTATGTTTAAGAGTCTGTTTTGTTTTTAAGATTCCACAGATGAGTGAAAGCATATAGTATTTGTCTTTCTCTGATTATTTCACTTAGTGTAATACTCTCTTGGTCCACCCTGTGGTTGCAAATGGCAACATCTCATTCTTTATGGCTGAGTAATATTCTGTTGTATATGTGCACCACATCTTTATCCACTCATCTGTTGTTGGACCCCTGGGCTGCTTCTGTATTTGGCTACTGTAAATCATGCTGCAGTAAACACACAATCACAGTAAACACATGAACCCTTTCACTTTAGTGTGTTTGTTTTCTTTGGGTAAATACCCAGGTGTGGAATTAGGGGATCATAGGGTAGTTCTATTTTTAACTTTTCAAGAAACTCCCATACTCCTTCCAGAGTGGCTGCACAGTTTGCATTCCCATCAACAGTGCGAGAGGGTTCTTTTTTCCACATCCTCGCCAACACCTGTTGTTTCTTGTCTTTTTGATTCCAGCCATTCTGACAGGGGTGAGGTGGTACCTCATGGTGGTTTTGATTTGCATCTCTCTGATGAGGAGTGATGTGGAACATCTTTTCATGAGTCTCTTGGCCACTGTATATCTTCTTTGGAAAAATGAATATTCAGGTCCTTGGATTTTTTTTTTTCCTTGAGCTGTAGGAGTGCTTTATATATTTTGGAATATCAACGCTTTATTGAATATGGCATTTGCAAATATCTTCCCTTACTCAGTAGGTTGCCTTCTCACTTTGCTGATGGTTACCTTTGCTCTGCAGAAGCTTTTTATTTTGGTGTAGTCCCAGTAGTTTATTTTTGCTTTTGTTTCCCTTGTCTGAGGAGATGGATTTAGAAAAATGTTGCTAAGGGTGATATCCAAGAGATTACTACCTATGTTTTCTTTCAGGGGTTTTATGGTTTCAGGTCTCACATTCAGGTCTTCAACCCTTTCCAGTTTATTTTTGTGCCTGCTGTAAGAAAGTGGTCCAGTTTCATTCTTCTGCATCCAGCACTATTTGTTGAAGAGATTGCCTCATCCCCATTGCATATTCTTGCCTTTGTTGTAGATAAGTTAACTATACAATAGTGGCAGTTGACTTCTGCACCCCCTATTCTGTTCTATTGATCTGTGTGTCTGTATTTCTGTCAGTGCCATATTGGTTTGATTACTACAGCTTTGTAGTCTATCTGGAGACCTGGGATTGTGATACCTCCAGCTTGGTTCTTCTTTTTTAGGCTTGCTCTGGCCATCTGGGCTCTTTTTTTGTGGTTCCATACAAATTTTAGGATGACTCCCGTTCTGAGAAAAAAGCTATTGGTATTTTGACAGAGATTGCAATGAATCTGTTGAGTCCTTTGGTGGTATGGACATTTTAACAATATTCTTCCAATCCACAGGCATGGAATATTTTTCCATTTGTTTGTATTACCTCCTTGGTTAAATTTATGCCTAGGCATTTTATTCTCTTTGGTGCCATTATAAAGGGAATTGTTGTTTTATTTCTTGTAGGTGGGCATGGGAAAAAAAGTGGCAGGGTCACTAGGTGAGTGGTCCACACTTAGTCTTTCTGCCACAGCTGTGGGTGCACCGAAGGGCTGGGCTTTTCTCGAGGTGGTGGCAGCTGGAAGGCTTGGCTACTGGGATGGTGCTGTGCTTGGGTTATCTTCCCCTCTCCCCCAAGCAGGAGTCCCTCTGGAGAGATGGCTGCTGAGGGGAGCTGGTGGAAAGAGACAGGTCCACATGGAATGCGGGAGTGGGCCACGCCGTGCTAGCAAGCTAGGTGGAGAGGGTTAGCACTGGCTCCCACAAGTGTCTGGCCATCGAGGCTGGAAAAGGGAAGAGAAAAGATGCCTGCCAGCACTTTTTTCCTGGACAAGTCTCCTGAAGATTCCTGCCGCTCCTGTGCACACTCTGTGAATAATTGTCCTTCACGTGTACTCCAGGCACTTTCCAAACTGCTGTTTCCCTGCCATTTTGGCAACTTGTTTACTGTGCTGGTTCTTTCGGGGCAGGGACCCTGCTTTCTGTTGTCCTCAGACCCTCCTGGAGTTAAGCCCACTGACATCTAAAGTCCCTGGACCCAAGTCCAGCTGATTTTAAAACCTTGCCGAGGTAAGCCTCATTGGTTTTCCAAGCCAAATGGTACAGGTTCTTGTTTGCCCTGTGCAGTCCCCCCGTGCTGGGGGGCCTGGTGTGGGGTCTGGTCTTCCTGCTGCTTCTCCGTGCCAGCGGTGTCCCTCCTGATTGCGACTGATCTCACAGGAGATGGGGTTCCCAACCATGTCTCCACGCCTCCTCCCCTTTCCAGTGCGGGCTCTTCTCTACCATGAACGGTGGAAGGCTTGCTCTGAGTCTTCAGGATGGTTTTAGAGTTCGTTGTAAAATGTAGGTGTTATCTTAGGTGTCCCCTGGATAAGGTGGTTTCAGGATCCTTCGAGTCTGCTCTCCTCCTGACCCCCTGACATACTTTGGATCTGCACTCTCCATTTTGCCATCCCAGATGGAATTTAAATAATAATTACCATCCACAACAGAGTTAGAATCAAAGAGGATGGAGATTTAAATTACTCGCCAGCTTACAAAACACATCCAGGAGGACACATGACCAGAAGTGAGATGTGCATGATTTGAAAATTATGGTTTCTAAAATAATTAAAATATTCAGTAGGAAATGCTAACCTATATTAAAAAAAATTTTAAAGTAGCAGTTGGAATGTTAAATTTTAGATGACTATCTATTATACCAAGTTTAATAAATATGTGTTTATATTAGTATATATTATGACATATCAACATTTATATATAATCATATTAATCTTTCATTTTTAAGGAAGTCATAGGGATTGCCAATTCTTTCAGTGTTATGGAGGAAAGGTGAATAAAATATAATGCGTCCCAATCAATTCCAAATACTGGTACAGAATGTGTGAAAAACAAAAAGTCATAAATAAGATTAAAACACGTTAGCTCCTAAGGAATAAACCAGAGAAATAATTGCAACAATTAACATTTCAGGGCGGTTAGTTGTATCTCAAAGATAAACTTAAGAGTCCTCCAGTCCTCTTTGTGTATATGGTATCATTTTACTTTATTTTTTGTAGTGTTTTAATTCTTAGTTTTTGACAACAATAAGAAAAAAAACCTGTCTGTTCTTTTTCTAGGTGGATGAGAAAAAAGAGAGCCAGGAGCTGGTCATCTCACTGGCTAGGTGAGAGGAGGTCTGACTGTGAAAGTCAGAGACTTCCTATGCTAAATCCCGGAGGCTTAGAGGTATTACCATGTCAGTACAGAATAGCCACAGAAGCCTTTCTTAAAAATCAACCCAAACACATTTCCTTTATCCTTTCAGAATAGCTTCTCCCTACTGTTGCTTTCCTCGGATGCGAAAAGAAAGCTGAATGAATTGAATATGAATTGATTTGATTATGGATATCTTCATAGACACTGTGACTAATAGAATTATTTTCCTTTTTCTCTTGGCATTTTTGTTGTTGTTTCTTGTGAACAATTAACCTTTAGGACTTCCAGCCTCAAACAAAGAGTGACAAAGCTAGTCAGTGGCAGGATTCCTTGGAGCCTCCATCTCCACAGCCAACCCCCTCACCTACCGCTGTCCCCCAGGCCAATTTTTTGAGTAGGGGGAAAAAAGCAATAAGGTGCTACCCGCATCTATGATAGATCTATTGTTCTTAATGCTGAGGCTTTGGTTGTCCTGACTCTTTGGGAAGGAGCAGGTAGCTTTTATCTCCAGATCGTGCCTCTTCACTTAGGAGTAAGCGCATTGGGGCTGGGGGACTCACCAACTGTGTATCCCAAACCCAAGGATAATAGAAGGGAAGGAGATCGAACCATCCAAAAAAGCATCCTGGTGGAGGTAGAAAAAGGACCATCCGGGGATAGTTTGCCTCCATCCTCTCCTCCAAAGGTAATTCATTTATTAATAGCAATCGTAGGTGCCCTTGCAGATCAAAACAGGTCTCCCTCAGGAGCCTGGGCTGGCTTTTATGGGCCAACGAAATGCAAATCAAGTTAAATAGGGAGACATAGGAAATAATATTTTCTTTCAGAATCTAGATTGAGATTGGATTCCTGTGCATGTTTGCATGTGGACTCGAGACTGACTTGTGTTGCTGCTGCCTGCTTAAAGACGTTACGAGAAGCTTGAAGCCATTCCTCTCTCTCTGTGACTTATTATTGCTTTCATGTTTACTTCCACCTGTAAACCTTCTATTCTAATTAGAACAAATCAGGGACAATATTCCAAATAAATTAGGGGCTTGGAAGGTCAGATCAAAAATGATACAGTAGAGCCACATTCGGAAGAAGCAGACATTAACTCAGAAGTCAGAATGGTACCTTTATGCAGCAGCCTGTAAATTAGGAGAAGGAGACCACATCTTTTTTTTCTTTTTTTAATCATTGTATCACAGGCTTCTAGCACAATGCCTGGCATATAATCTGTGCTCAAATATTACTAGAAATCATGCAATAAAGTGCTATAAATGTCTTAATACAGATGTTTACTCTGGCCCCAAGGACAACATGATGCATTGCCCTGTATTGTTTACTTTAAATTTAAGAAGTGAAACACAGCATCAGTGTAATTAGGACAAGATAAGGTAAAAAGAAATCGATTTGATATATACAAGGAAGGCAAAGGGGATAGGACCCGAAAGGTCAATGTTTGCAAAGACAGGAATTGCCGTAAGAATGCTATTAGGGATGAGACTTCATAAGCTATTCTGGGTTCTATTAATTACTATTCTGGGATCTCTACAGAGTAACAAGTTGTCAAAAAATAGCCTGGCTTTCTGGAAACAACAGGGCAGTCTAGGACAGAGTTTTAGTAAGATGTTACCCAATGAAGGAGGACATGGGTAAGACTGAAAAAAAAGAAAGGATGCCAAAAAGTGAACCTTCAAAGGAACAAGGATGATGTCTAAATGTTTGATCAGTCATAGGAAATTCACAAGGGAAGAAAATTGTCTTTTAAGTAAAAATTTAGGATTGGTAATGATCTCCTGGGACATTTCATAGAATCGATTTTAATTTGTTAGTTCTACAAATAGAGAAACAAGCACTCACTAGAGCAACTTTATTTGCCCTAAAAGGGCAAACATAAGTAAATCTGAATTAGATTGTTTATGTGAAATACTGCTTATAAGTAGATTCTTTTTTGCCCAAGATCAGCTGAAAGCCTGAAGAAGATGGCTGGAACGTGTTAATTTTGAAACCGAAGAGCAATGTAAAGCCAGAAGAAATGATAACTCAGGGGAAAAAAAATTCTCAATGTCAGGAAAGGCAGACAGTCCATCTGGCCAATGAGTTAGACAATTAGGCTGGTAATTAATCCAGATAGCAACTAGAACAAACCTCGATTCCCTTCATGTCACAGCAATGAACTGAATTCTAGGTATATGGTTAACTGATTGATACTCAAGTTCAAAAAAGGCCATATACCTTGCTAGGTTACCATTTCCATGCTGGACTAACCTTTATCATTAGTTACAAATCTGAAACAGAGCGAGTGTCATATTTACTAAAGCATGAGTGTACAGTGGGTCCCACCCTATATTTACTTATTTTCTGAAATAGCATATGTAACATGTAAATATGATCTTATACTTTATAACGGACTCTTCTTACAGACCACCAGAGTCAACATTTTAAAAGAAATGATAGAAATTTCTTAAAACTCCTACCTATCCCTGAGAATGGTCCAGAGCTCTCCTCCCAGGCACACTTCCATCAACATGTACAAATATTTGCTGTCCTTAAACGTTCTGTACAATCTGGGAATTGCAAACAAGAAAACAAGGGTTATCAACATTGTTGTCCTTGAAAAGAATGTACATGTTTTAAGTGCTCAGATTTACAGTCTGATACTTGATTTACCAAGCTTGAAATGGCATTAAAGGAAAGAGAGGGACCTGTTTGTAAATAGGGAAAAGAAGGCAACAGGCTCCCAAGAAGTGTGTGGTGTAGAGCTAGTCTGTCCTAGACAATGAGTGCATGAGTTCTAAGGATTATGGACCAAAGTGGCTTCTTGGGGTCCCAGTCTGGCTGCTGTTTAGAGCATATGGACTCTTGAGCCATACTGAGTGGGGATAAACATTCAGTCTATCTGCATATAAAATAGATATACTTCACAACATAGACGTGTATGAAATTCCCGTGCTGTTCCTTAAATTCACCTTTGGCCCTGTTTTTAAGTGCCCCTGAGAAATTAACTGGAACAGGTTTTATTTATTTTGTATCGAAGACCTCCCAATTATCCTCTTATCAATGCTCTGAAAATCTGGAGGTGGAATAGTCCTTTCATTTTTTTTAATCTTCCCCAAATTAAAAAAAAATTACATATTAGTATTCAAATAATTAAATAGAGGATAGTTGTGTATTTCGTCTTTCAAGCTCCAGAAATCTACAGAGGGTTTTGGAGTCACAGAGTGCATCAAAAACCGAGAGCCCTCCTTTGCGAAAAGCATGCTCTTTTCACAAGTCTGATTCTTTAAAAAAAAATAAAGGACAGAATCAAACTTCAGGTTTTTTTTTTTTTTTTTTTTTTTTTTTAAAGCCTAACAAAACTTTCTTAAAATCAGATTTAAGAACATGTTTCCTGGGTGCAGGAAGTGTGTGCTGGTGAGCAGGGGTGGTGGCGGGTTTGGTGACTGACTTTCCAGGGGGAGTAGAATCAGCATCCCTGAGGGTGCGGAGTCTGTACCTCACTATGAAGTCGGAATGCGCCCCCTGCATGATCTGCTTCTCCGAGCGGATGTGCTCCTGCTGTCTCGTATCCACGATGTGGCGTTTCTTGAGAATCTTCATGGCGAAGGTTTTGGATTCTTCACTTTTCAACTGGACCTTCAAGAAAAGCACAGAAAATAAGTGAGGAAAGAGCCCACTGCATTAATGTAACAGAATGCCTTCTTGTCCCCAAATTACCTAGTGCATGAGCACTGCAGGGACCCCCTCCCCATCTCAGATGCCACCTGAGCGACACAGTTTGTGATCACCGGAGCTGGAAGAAATCCAGGTCTGTGACCCTCATCCACGTTCCTTCCCATGGACCAGATAAGAGTGTTACCAGAGGCTCAATTAGTGTGGTGCCCGCTGGGATAGGGAGAAGGCAAGTGTGTTGGATTCTCACTGTGTTATTTCATTTCCTACCACATAATGTGTTTGAGCGTACTTTATAGTTTCTCTTCTGCAATCAAAAAAGCATAAAAATGAAATTCTGTTTGCCTTCCAGCACTTGTGGTAGAAGTAGGATCCTATGACCTGAGCCGAGACCAAGAGCTGGAGGCTTCACTGAATCCCCCCCACCCCACCCCAGGCACCCCTCAAGAAGGTGACTTGTGAGGAGATGAAGAGATGTGGGTGATGGGACTAATCACGTAATAGCAATATTAACATTTTCTAGCCCTGTTGAGCCACAAACAATCTTCAAGTCTGCATTATGTGGAACACATGAAAGCCTCAGGGAGATGACCTGACAAACCATTTCTGCTTTTCAGCTGAAGGATCACTGTCCCCTGGAGTTGTGAATTGTTTACTGTGTAGCGCAATTCTTAAGTGTGTCATTCACACGCAAGTGTACAGACTGAATGCCGTCCGAGAGGACGTTCACAGGGCGGGTGCTCGGGTGAGAACACAAGGACACTTCACACCAACGGGCCTCAGGGTACGGGCAGCGTCTGTAAATCTCTATGACAGGTTATAGAGAAAAATGATATTTGAATTTGCCTTAAGCAGCCAAGGGCCCTCTACGCAGTCTGTGAAACTCTTGAGGACAACAGAGGAGTGGGATTCAAATGGATCCAGTGATTGTGCATAATGAAACACAAAATGTGGACACTCATTTCTAAAAGAAATGTGGACGGTCAGCCTGAAAAATGAGCCGTATCACAGGGCTGAAGATCAGCGAAGAAATGAAGTCATGTTCTCTCTGGAGCCTTACTGTAATGACCTCAGTCTCTTAGGTGGTTTACACACCCGATGGAAAACGTGTCCGTTATTCTTCGCCGTGATCGTGACCTACATTTTTATTTGTACATAGGGTGGGAGGAAAAAACTCTGAGTTGGTGTCACAGGTCTGGACCTCAACCCTGACTTCGCTGAGTTGTTTCTCTGCTCTGAGCCCCAGTTCTTGCTGAAGAGTACACTGTATGGAGTTATCACGACCTGAAGTGAGAAAGTGCCATGGGGTGGGAAACGGCCCCTATTCTCTCTGCTGGACCCCTGCCCCAGCCAGCAGGCTCTGCCCGATATCATACGACAGCTGTCTGCAAAACAAAGGCAGACCCCTCACTCCTCTGCTCAAAACACTCCAGTGCCTTTGCATCTCGCTCCTAGGAAAGACAAAGCTGTCACAGCGACTACAAGGTCCTAAACCATCTGGATCCCAGCTACCCCCTAACTCACTCAGCTGAGGCCACACCCACCCCCTTGCTCCCCTTCCTGGAATACACTGCAAACATGTGCCTCAGTCTGTCTGCTTGTCTTTTCTGCCCAAATATTTTCCCACAGATACCCCCAGGAGTCCCCCTCTCAGTTCCTGAAGCTCTTTGCTCAAATGTTTCCTCATCGGCATGTCCTCACCCCAGACTCTGTAAAAGAAACGGCCCTCCCTCTCCCCTCCCTGCTTGCCGGTTCTCCCCAGCTCTATCACAAACTCCTACACAGAACAGTTTTCATTACTTGTTCAGCTCCTGTCTCCTTTCCCTCATCTGTAAGCGACCTGCAATGCGGGATCTTTTGACTCACTATCCCTGACACAGAGTAAATGCCTATTAGGTATTTGCTGACTTCATGAATCAAAGAGAGAACATGGGGAACCACGACGATTGATCACTGGCAAAGCCACGACGGTACTGGGGTCTCGGCTCCACACTGTGCATTTCTTACCTTCACAGGACAAAAATGAGGGAAGCTATGAGGACAAGCATGGAGTATTCGGTCTTTTCCTTTTGTCCCAAAGCACCCTTAATTAGGCATGGAAGGGAAGAAACGATTTCTATGTGTCAGCACCACACAGACACTATCCATGGCCAAATAACCACGCGATTCAGTTTCCAGTTCTCAGTTTATGTTTTTACAAGATGCTTTCTTAACCCAGCCATTTCCTTGATCAACATTCCCAACCATGGAGACTACTAGGTTAATAAGATCATCTCTACGACAACGTCTAGTTGGCTACCAATGAGCTCTTGGGGTCCGTCCCCTCTTGAGACCATGGTCATTTGTTTGCGACCCATCTCCTTGCCTACACTGCTCCTGAGTTCCCTTCCAGTGAACACGTTCCACAATTCCATGAATATTGCCCATTTTTGTTCTCAGGAGCACATCACTGTTATACCCACACCCAGATATTTATTTCACCACAGCCAGGATAGGAGATAAAAACATGCACTTATTTTGTTATTTCTTTAATAGTTTTGAACTGTAGATTAGAGAGAGTCTATGCAGGGAAATAAACGAAGCCCTCAGTAATGTCAGAGAGAAACGGGAATTAGCATTTGTGGAACACAGACGTGCTGGGCACATCCCTATGTATTATTTTCAGTCGCGACATCAACTCTCAAGGGTGGGAGGAACAGAAGTTTGTTGTGTTTTTACAAAGACTTCATCATCACTAACAATAATAGCTAATAGTAATAAAGCTCGTATTGTCAGGAATAGCAAAGTGAGTGAGTTTTCTCCGTTAATCTTCTAGGCACCCTTTTGAGGGACTGTTGTCATCCCCATGTTTCAGAGGAGCTAACTGAGGATTATCAGAGAGGGTCCTATCTTGCCCAGGGCCACAGAGCTGTCAAGTCGCAGGACTGGGTTTGTGCTCCCATGCTATTGGTAGTAAGTGCTGTTTCCCTTCAGCTACATAGAAAACTGATGGCAGAGTGATTGATGCCTTACAAATGAGAGTTTAATGGAACTGGCCTCCTCAGAGAGACTCCACGAGAAAAGCTGAACTGTGCGCTACATGCCACGAAGCCTCCCCCATGCTGGAAATGCCAGAGCCCCACTGTCATACCCCAGGATCTGGGGTACCTGAGTGATGGCTTCTCCTTGTGGAATTCAAAGACTGGAAGTGAGAGGGGAGGACCTGGTGCTAACAGCTGGTGGATGGGAGGGGCTGCTGCTAAAGAGTCGTACGCATGCAAATGCCACCGGGATGACTGGGGTCAGCCTCATCAGCTGCTAATGTAATGATCATTGGTTATAAGCAGTTTACAGAGCCCAACAGCTCACCTGCGGAGGCTTTCTGTTCAGTTTGCCAACTGAAACTATAGTTTCAGTTTCCACTTTGCTTGGGTGGAGACCGTCCCACCGTCTGGAACCACTGTCCTTTGCATTCTGTAAAGACCTGTATAGTTCCTTAGAGGAAAGCCCTTAGAATCTCCACTTCTATTTTAAACTAGAAGGACACAAGACTCCCAGGATCCTGGCTCATAACTGAGAAGTCAGACAGCCCGAGGACTACTGCTGGAGCTAATTCAACAAACACAGTCACTTCTGCTGCAGCTGATTCTCTTAAAAATACACTCCTAATTAACCAACATGTCCAACTCTTAGATTGTCTCTAATGGCAAAATTTGGAAACCATCTAAATGTCCATGCAGAAAAGCATGGAAAAATAAATGATCATATGACCATGCGAAGCAGCTATAAAAACTAGGACGTAAAATGATGACTTAGCAAAGGAAAAAAAAAAAGGGAGAGGGAGACAAAGCAAGAGAGAGACTCTTGTCTAGAGAACTGATGGTCACCAGAGGGGAGGTGGTGGGGCCTGGGGGATGAAGGAGGGCACCTGTCGAGATGAGCACAGGGTGATGTGTGGAGGTGCTAAATCACTCCACTGTACACCTGACACTAATATTACACCATATGTTAACTAATGGGAATCAAGTGTCATTCTTTTCTTTTTTAAAGATTTCATTTATTTATTTGACAGATAGAGAGAGAGAGATCACAAGTAAGCAGAGCAGCAGGCAGCGAGAGAGGGGGGAAGCAGGCACCCCACTGAGCAGAGAGCTCGATGCGGGGCTCGATCCCAGGACCCTGAGATCATGACCTGAGCCAAAGGCACTGAGCCACCCAGGCACCCCAAGTGTCATTCTAAGTCTATTTTTTATTATGGAAAAATAGCCCTCCAAATTTATATACACACAGATAATATGTGTATATGTTATATATACATATTTACATATAAGAATACAGAATACAAGCCAGCATACATTTTATGATCCCATAAATAATGTTTGTATGTACGTATATATCTATATCTAAAATCTAGGATGAGACAATCAGAAATGTGTTTCCCAATATGTTAATAATGGTGTTCCCTTAGGGAAATTTTCAGTTCTACTTCTTTTTGCTTTTTTGAGTTGCTTAACTTTTGTACAATTAGCATACATCCCTGTTTTGATGGGTAAACACAGTGATATTCAGGGAAAATAAATTTTGAAGTCTCTCTTAAATTGTACCACCTACGTATTAGTATCTGGCTCTCTTTAAGGATTCCAGGTCAATGGGCATCACTCTGCTAGAGTTTCATGAATGCAAAGACCTTGAGAGGTTGTATATAGCATAACAATCTATTCGAGTTTGGGCTGAACCACACTATTCAGCTCCTTAAAGGACCTGCCAAATTCTTTTGTTCAGTATGAACTCTCAGGGGAAGTTATAGCCGTTTGTATTTACTAGGCCTACACTATTAGGTTTTATTATGAAAGTGCTTTCACAAGACGAATCATGAAAATTTTTAAGGTGAAATGTAGTTTGCTTTATATTTTTCCAGTTGGCCAAATGAATTATCCTAAGTCTGCTTCTGTCAAATTGAGATAATGATGATTTTGAAATCGGGT